CGTGGTCTTACATCTAAGTGTCATGGGCTCCCCCCCCCCATGGTCTTTAATAGGAAAATTATGGGCTCTCCACATGGTCTTACATCCAAATTCCATGGGCTCCCCATGGTATTTAATAGGAAAGCCATGGGCTCTCCACATGGTCTTGCATCCAAGTGTCATGGGCTCCCCCATGGTCTTTCATACAAGTACACCACATATACAACTAGAATACTTCCTAGCATATAACCAACAATCATGCCACATAACACTACATCAAAAAGTGTACTACATATCATAAAATGGATCGGCCTTGGTGTCTTCGACTCATTGGTATGGTGAGGAGACTCATCTCACACTGCCGAAGTCCCATGGATAAAACTCTAGTTGTTGATTGACAGATTCCCGAACTGTCAATCATCAAAACAACACCCAATTAATAATTGGGTTCCAATACATAACCACAAGTCTATGCTTGGGGTAAAAAGACTATTTTACCCTTAACCTAACTTGGTCCAAAACCAAGGTCCAAACTTACACTCTAAAGGCCCAAAAACCAATCAATGAACCAAGGCCCAACATATGGCCCAATTTTGCAAATTGGGCCCAAACCTCTACATAGGCTTATCTTATGGCCTAACCATTATTCTAGTCCAAACACTTAGCATTCTAATGGTCTAATATCTCATAATCATCAAGGCCTAATTATGGCCCACCTATGGCCCAATTTTCCAAATTGGGCCCAAGCCTTTCCAATAGGCCTTATCCTAAAGCCCAATAATTTCCTTAGTCCATAAACTTGTTCCCACACGAAGGCCCAACGCAACCCAATCCAAAAACTGGCCCAACAAGAACCCAAACCCAATCAGGGTTTTTTCACATAAAATGACGATTAGGGTTAAATGTTCCTACTTAACCCATTAAGGACATAATCCATTAAGGTCCATTAAGTCTACCACTCCACTAGTCCAAACATACAATGTGGTCGGGTGTAATTCAAAATTCCAAATCCAACGGTCCAAACGCGGGTCCCGACTAATCCAAAATACACATTTCCAAAATACAGGTTTTCTAAACCCTAATTAGGGTTTCCAAGCCAATCATGTGCCAATTAGTCAAATGGTTAGGTTTTTAGGTCAATTAGGGTTAAATAGGTCAGGCACCACCCACTACCACCTCAGATAGTGGTGGTCAACGCCAACTCACGGCGGAGGCTACCACCTCGTGGCAGTGGTTATGATTTTGGCTATGTCCAAGCATCCAAAAATAACAATCACACACACAAAAGCACACAGCCAGCCAAGGTGGTGGCTGGTGGTGGCAGAATGGCAGCGTGAGGTGGCAACCACCACCTTATGGCAGTGACGGGTTGTTTTCCTTGAATAGTCCGGCCATATAATGTACATACAATATTATACACCAACACATACCTAGATACACAGTAAAACACACACATAACCACCTTCCACAGTGGCTGGTAGCGACGGAAGATGGCAGCAGGCAGCGGCCACCATGGCTGGCATCCGTGGTGGTTCTTTCCTCGGTTTCTGGCTAGCAACACTTGCACATACACCGTTCGATCATAGCAGCGACCCATGTTAACATAAGATAAAAAAACGAGCACAACCACCCACCTGGTGGCGTGCATCACACGGTAGGAGCAATGACTCTAATAGCCGGCGCTAGCGGCGACGGACTGAGGTAGCACCGATGAATAACAACGGAACAGAAGGAGACGGGGTGGGAGACTCCCACCAGGAACTGAAGCAACATCACCCATAGGTGGCTTCTTCCGACCATCCACTATCATGACGTGTCATGGTAGCCTTGGCCTTCAACAACAACGGAAATCGGCGGCTTCGCCCTCATCGGAAATGGCGGACGACGGTGGTGACAGACGTCTCAGAGGAAGGAATAGCAACAACAGCCATGATATCGGTCTTCAAGCACGTCGTCGGAGTCGCAAGGGGTCATCAGTGGTTCACTATTGTGTCACGGAGGCGGCGGCTGGGATGGGAGGAATAAGGGTGGCGGCGCCGGAGGTGGTTAATGTGAAGGTGGCGGCTGAATAGTGTTCATTAGGGTTAGGGTTTCTTGAGGCGTATCCATCCAACGGGTAGGGAGGTATCGGGTTTAAAATCTCGTCTTCATGCTCCCAACTTCATACAAAAACTGATACAATGAGTCCCCCCCCCCCCTACATACTCTTTTCAACATAAGCCCAAAAGTTACCATGTAGCCCCTTAGCCTCCAAAATCTATACAATATAAGTCCAAAAAATACCAAACTCCCCCTGACTTCTGAGAATCTTACAGAATAAATGCAAAACTTGCACTTTTGACCCCCAAAATCCAAAATTATGACATTTAACTCCTCGAAACCAACACCCCGCTAAATATTATTTATTTTGACTACAACAATATAAAATAATAATAATAATTATATATTGAGGTTTCAGGTTTATTATTTATTTATTCTATTTCAAACAGGATGTTACATAGGAAACCCTAGATTTTGAATCCCAGGTGGCCATAGGAAAGGGTGTGAAAACCTTTTGGGATTTTCGAAAAAACAGGGTTCTTTAACCCTAATTTGCGAGAATTAAAGGCCCTAGGGTTTGATTGCCATATACCCTAATTTTTCAAATTATATAAATTGCATCAAATCTATCTGAAAACGAAAACCATACACTTTGATACCGCTGATGAGTTTTATACATAACAAACAATCCTATGTGTGTATGTAACCCTAATTTAAGGATCTATGTTTTCACTACTATACTTACAAGAATTGAACACACAAAAAAAGTAGAAACCCTAGAAGGCAAGTATTATTTTAGAAATTAATAATAACATAGGGTTAGGATACACACCTTTAAGATTGTTATTGTAAACAATCTTGAATTTTCGCTTGAAAAACCTTTGATAACAAGCACCATAAGTATCGCACCTCTAATGGTTCACAAACAAACTCAAGCAAAGGATTATATATATATATATATATATATATATATATATATATATATATATATATATATATAGAGAGAGAGAGAGAGAGAGAGAAAGAGAAAGAAAGAAGAATTTCGACTCTAAGCCTTTTTGAGGAGTGTATGGACGAAATATAACCCCAAGGAGGGTTTATATAGGTGTTAGGAAGGTATTGGATAATGCATGTGTATCCAAGATAACCCTAATCCCTTAACCTCCTCCCTAAGGCATCCAAGACACCCTTAGAGCCCAAGGAAACCGTAAGGAGGGTTTAATTACCATAGGGAGGTTCTAGAATTGCCCAATGTTCAACTATTAAGCATTGTCACCTTTAGTTCCTATAGTTTTAATTAATTAATTCCAAATTAATTTATGATTAAATATTAATTAAACATTATGATTTCTAATTAATATATTATTTCCATAATACATTAATAAATCATTTATTTTGATTTCTAATTAATTTATTAACCAAGTAATAATTTTAAATCATTGATGTCTTATTTTGACCCATGCTTGGGAGTATGAGCTATTGGATTGGGATGTTAGATCTTGGCTTATCTGAGGTCCCTTGTTCATAAAAATGCAACATTGATGTCTTATTTTGACCCATGCATGATTTAAGGCTCTTAATATGTGTCTTAATGGTTAAAATTGAGTGTTGGGTCCTTTTGAGCCATGTAATTGCTCCATTTTAAGAGCTTTATAGAGTAGGACGTTCATTTAGACGTGGATATGTAATTTGGATGCTTGAATGCAAGTATTAAGCACTTAAGGAAAAAGTGCTTAATAGATGCATACGTTGGGCATTCTAAATAGTATGATGCACATGCGTGCCCGTGTCAGCGACCACGCATGCAACCTAGAGTGGGCTTTTATGTTTTGGGAAATTTTAGGACTAGTGAAGTTTGGGCCTTGTTGGGACATCAACCATTTTTATTTTAGGCCATTGTTAGGCTCTAGGCCTTCTTGTGTTCGGGACCGTATTGGGTTTTGGGTATCATTTAGAGCTTTGGCCCATATTGGGCTTTTTAGTGCGATTGGATCGGGCCTCATATTTTAGGCTAAGTGGGAAACGGGTAATATGGACTTTTACCACGAGTGTTAGACAATTGGACTAGGATTTTCAGCTACAGGTTGTTGACCAATTATTAATTGGGTATTACTTGATGATGTTAACTCAGGGATTTTCCAGATCGGCAGTCCGAGCTTTTATCTGAGGTATTCAACAACTTGAGGTGAGTTTCCTCACTGTGCTTGGCGGGTTGAAGGCACCAATATCGACCCATGGTTTGTTATGATAAGGATGCTAGTTGTCTGCATGATTCTTGTATGTATGTGATGCGAATGTATATGTTTGACAAATCTGTTCATGCTACTGACAGATCTGTTCCAAGCGGGGCTCGATGCCGGACGGGGCGTATTATATGTTTGATATGTATGATATGTTTGGGGAACTCACTAAGTTTCATTCTTACAGTTTTCGGTTTGTGTTTCAGGTACTTATGGTTCGAAAGGGAAGAGCTCGGGATGACCACATTTCGCACACACTATGATTTCCGCTTTATATAACTTTGATGTATTGGATTCGTCGTTTAACATACTCTAATTTTCTTGTATGGTTTTATAAAACACGTTTGGGTTGATGGTTTTATTATAATTAAAATGAAATTTTTGGTCTTAATTTTTGGTTTTATTAGTAACATACTTTTCTGTTCATCCGATTTTAGACTTGAGACACAATTTTATATATATAGTTGAAATTAAATATTCAAAAGAAAATCATAGGTTTAATTTTGAAAGTACAATAAATGTGTAAAGATCGGCTGCTGGTATGCCGAGTAAAAGTTTATTGAAATAATAATTTGATTTTATGGAAATGAGGAGGACGTTGCTGTTGACTTGGACCTCCCTTTTGAATCATTCCCACCGCCTACTCTCTCCCACTCTGCATAAATCCCTTCCTACCCTTCTTCCATTTTCGCACCCAGGATCTCGATTTCAATCCGCTTCTGTAGATCTACACTTGGAAACATGAAGAACAATCACAACACTAATCAGAATCAAATGATCTCACTCTTCAAGCTCTTCAATGCTCCATTACATCTATCCAATCTCCTTTCTCTCATCCTATTCTTCGCCTTCGGTTTATGTTTCGGTATCATTCTCACTTTCCATCTCAAAAACGTCTCCTTCAATCTCCAGTTCACACAATTTTCTCTCTCCACCACCACCACCAACACCGCCGTCCAGGCCGACGTTATAACCACCACACCACAAACAACCCCGCCGCCGCCGAAAGTTGGATTGGCAAGCTACTTGAACCCGCCGGAACTGATGCACGATATGACCGATGAAGAGTTGATTTGGAGAGCATCGATGGTTCCGAAAGTCAGAGATTATCCGTTCGAGAGAATCCCGAAGGTTGCCTTCATGTTTTTGACTAGAGGTCCGGTGGTGTTGTCGCCGCTGTGGGATAAATTTTTCAAAGGGAACGAAGGTCTTTACACCATTTATGTTCATAGCTCCGATTCGGCTGCCAATGAGACGGAGCCGGAGGACTCTGTATTTCATGGCCGGCGAATTCCAAGCAAGGTAAAAAGCTGCTAATTATCGAATTAATCTTTTGCTTTCATGGTTAAATAAAAACGTTGAAATTTTCAAAACAGAATTTTTGCTTTAGGATTTCTACCATAGCAATAGCAATTAATATAATCAGAAAATTAGGATTGTTGGTTATTGACACTGGTGTGCAGATTATAAATTATCATATTCAAAATCAATATTATCAAGATTTTATAATGGTAGAATATTTTATTTGAATATATATACTTGATTTTCCTATAATAAATGATTTTTTCTACAATGGGATGATTGGAAGTTACTTAATTAGGAAGATCAACAAAATCATTTGTAATCGAATTGTCTCGAATATTTGGTTTCCTTAAACTGTAAGCAATTATTTCATTTTGTTTTTGGGAATTTCTTACCATAATCTTTGTAAATTTATTTAAAATTTTGAATTTTGAGACATACTTTTATAAGTCCGAATCAATATCGATACATTTAAAAATAATAATTTTAATTCTAACGAAAAAGGAATACGAATAATAACGGATGTAATTTAATCATTGGGATTATAAATAAATTTCCAATAATTTATTATTAAAGAAATTTCTTCTCTAAAAATAAGAAAACAAGTGGCAAAGGGTGTATGATGGAAGCATTGCCCAATAGCCATAAACTTGTATGATGTATCCAAGCTGGATGTGTATGGTTCCGTTATACTTTTTCAAAAGTTTAGTGGAATATTCTTTTTCCATTTAAAATAATATTTAATTGTTATTTTTTTCTTTTCAAAATATTAAAAATAATTTGGAACATTGATTCATATGGTTTTGACATGGATATAATTCTATCATCTTGCATGTGAGTTTCATTATGAAATAAACAATCTACAACCCTTTTTGTAAATATAATCTTTATAAGATATTGCAATCTTTTTTATTTAAATCCTTAAGTTTTGCAACTTTATTTTATCCTTGTGAA